TCCGACCTACATTGTGAGATCCTGTGGACCCTGACTCTGACCTAAATACAGAAGAAAAAAACAAAGACACATTGAGAACTCTGACATCTTTTTTTTTGGGGGGGGGAGGCAGAACCAGGGATTGAACTCAGGCCCTTGCGCTTGCCAGGGAAGCGCTTATTCTACTGAGCCATCTCCCTGGCAAAAGATTTTTTTTTTTCATCTTAGCCAGTGTCCAGATATGAGTGTTGAGGATGGTAAGTGAATAAGAAATATAATAGAGGTTTTACCAGTTGAAAGTGGAGCTTTGCCAGGCTGCTGATGGGCATACAGCCTGGCACCTGGCACCTCAATCTGATGGGAGAAATATGTCTTCTCTGTGTGCAAGGTGATCCCCATGTCATGGGGGCTGACAAAGGTTAGCCTGACTGTGTGGAGGAAGGTGCACACCTGTAAACCCAGCACTTGGAGGCTGAGGCAGGAGGGTCACTAAATTTAAGGCCAGACTGGGCTACATGGTCCAGGACCAGCCCAGAGTACACACTGAGACAGAAGGAGAAGAAGAAAGGAGGTGGGAAGAGGAAGAAAAGAAAGCCAAGCCCAGATTTAAAAAAAAACCCTGCATATCTACAGGTTTTGTTTGTGTGTTTGTTTGTTTGTTTACTGAGGATCAAACTCAGGACCTTGCACTTGCCAGGCAGGCGCTTATGCCTCTGAGCTGTATCCCCAGCCCTGCCAAGTCCAAATTAATGAAGGAAACACACCTAACAATGTGAAGCAAATCTAGCCTTGGCCAGGGGTAACAGGACCCACCACTCCTGTATTCCACACAGAAAGTTTTCCTGTTTCCCTCCCCACATCTGAGCCAGGGAATATTTCTCCTTTCTATCCTGTGCATACTGCTGGGGACCCGGGACAGCACTGAGGAGGCCAAAGAGATGCTGGGATTACGCAGCTGGGCATTTGGGAAGGAGGTGAGAATCCCCAGGGGGCGGGAAGCTTCCAGGGAGAAGAGGTGGAGACAGAGCTTGAAACTCCCGGAGCTCTGCGGTGTCACAGCTCCAAGAATATGCAGGGAGGCTCATGCTGCCCTTCAGCGGCTCCTTATCTAATTAGCAGAGAGGTGCAAAAAGTCAGAAATCCTATCTCTTTCTCCCCTACACTCCATCCCCTCTGCACCCCCTCAGCTTTCAGAAAAAAAGAACTGTGGGAGAACTGAGGACTTGGAAGCCCTGTGCACCTTTGCTACAGGCTGATGTCCTCCCTCCAGCTTGCTCAAGACTGTCCTGAGTCTCCCAAAGACTCCGGAGGCCACAGGAAGCCCCCCAGTCCCAGGCACCTGGATGGTGCAATCCAGGCTGTCTTGGCTCCACGTCTCTGCGTGTCCCTGACAAGTGTCCTCAGTCTGGGGCAAGGTGCACCTTGTAAGACGGGACTCTCTGGCTCTGATGCACCATGGTCCTGGGAATGGTCGCTAGGTTTCCTGAAGCTGGGCACCGCAAGGGTCACTCTGGCCTTGCCTTTATTGATCACAGTCCCAGTGCATCCTGGGCCTCCTGGAAGGTCATCCTCCAGCACAGGAGGAGTGGCAGGTCCTGGTCTCGCTCCTGCCCAGCTTTGTGAAGACCTCTCCAGGGCCGAGTGCACTTATGGACTGTATTCTGCTTACACTTTCCACCCTACAAAACAGACATGGCATACCCTGTCTTCCATTTACTAGACTCAGCCTCCTTGAGGGCCGCCCTTGAGGGGCTGATATGAAGTTAAAGCACACACCAAGAATTCTTTGGTGTTAAATTCCACAGGGAAAGCTTTTGCATTTCACCTCATGGTGGCCTGGAGGTTCCAAAGTTGTGCTGGAGCCTGCATGTATGGCTTCATTCAGGAATGCTACAAACTATTGTTATATAAAGCCTTTATCAAGGGACTGGGGAAATGGCTCAGTAGAATAAGTGCTTCCCTGGCAAGTGCAAATGCCTGAGTTCAATCCCCGGTTCTGCAAAAATAAATAAATAAATAAATAAAGCAAGCCTTTATCAAGGCCAGCCTCAACTACAGAGGGGAGTGAGATCCTGTCTCAAAAAAAAAAAAAAAAAAAAAAAAAAAAAAAAAAAAAAAAAAAAAAAAGCAAAACAAAACAACAACAACAGGGGCTGGTGAGATGGCTCAGTGGTCTAAAGCACCTACTTAGAGCAAGTTTAGCAAAGCACAGGGACTGCGGTTCAATCTCCCAGCACCACATGCCAGCCGGCCCCGCCCCCTGGTGGGCTGAGCTGGCCACACACACACACACACACAAATAAACAAAATTTAAAAAAAAATTCTTTAAAAAAACAACAACAACAACAACAAAAAAGTTTAAGGGAGCCAGGGAGATGGCTTAGTAGAAATAAACATTTGCCTGGCAAGCACAAGAGCCTGAGTTCAATCTCTGGTTCTACAAAACAAACAAACAAACAAACAAAGCTTAACAAAGCAGAAGAAAACACAGCCTTCAAAAAAGAAATTAAAAACAAAAAACAAAAAAAGAAATTAATCCAAACATAGTAGTACAGACCTTAGTCCCAGCACTCTGAGAGGGTGAGGCAGGAGAATCCCAAATTCAAGCCCAACTCGGGCAACTTAATGATTTAGCAAGACCTTGTCTCAAAAAAGTTCAAAAGAGATTGGGATGTAGCCCAGTGCAAAGATCCAGGGTTCAACACCACCCCCACTCTACCCGCACTGTCATCTCTGTTTTCAGCTCCAGATTTCCAATCATGGAAAAGAGAAACCAAGAAACTCAGTTCATCACCTAAAAGCTATGAGATGCATGGCTGAGGATAAAATTTAGGGGTAGAAGAAATCCCTGGATTCGATCCTCAGCTTGACAAATAAAACAGAACACGAATGAGATAACAAACTGATGCTAAGGAAACTGATGTGCAGACAGGCTGGAAAGAACCTGTGGGCACAGTGTGGGAGACCTATCTCTGGCCCTTTTTTTCCTCCAGGGGACCCTCTGTCTACAGGGAGGAACCCTGGTCCCTTTGACTCCAACAGTGCACTGGGCCAGGCGGTGGTACACAGCATTTAGGATGATCACTGTGCATTCAAGAGTAGCCTGGGGGCTGGTGAGATGACTCAGTGGTCTAAAGCACCTACTTAGAACAAGCTTAGCAAAGCACAGGGACCGCGGTTCAATCCCCCAGCACCGCATGCCAGCCAGCCCCGCCCC